CTATGAAAGGGTAAATATAGGAAGAACATTAAATTGCACTTGAAATTACTTTAAGACTTTTTAAGTTTCCCTTTCTTAAAATCAGGAACATGCACCTAAAAAAGGTGGTTTCTCAAATATTGAAATTACCAAATAAATAAGTGATCTGAGAAATAGTAAATTGACAATGCATATCAGCAACACTCCAGGGAACACCACAAACAATTAAGTCAAACTCCTATGTTTACCCCTCAAATCATTCAACTGATCAAGCATTCCCCTTCTTTTTAGGAACTTGGGAGAATGCATAGTACAATAGACTGTCCGTGTAGTGAATTTACCAACACAACAGGTACGGAAAGTTTAATATGGTTCGACAAGTAAATAACTGAATTGACTATTAAATAACTGAATCTTACAAGTAGTGTTTCTTCTTTATATAGTATACTAAGGAGGAAACCTAAATTTATAATAATACAACGCATAATACCAAGAACATTTCACTGAGAGGCACCCCAGTAATTCTGCAATAACATTTCCAGGATAAAACAATGATCATAAGAACTTGGGATAAAAGGTTTCCTCCGAAAATCAGGAGCTTTTATGAATGATAATCTCTTTGACTATTAGCCACAAAACTCAACAGTTCATAACTTTCGTCATTAAAGAACATTATCATCAAAACATCTTAACATTACATGCAACAACTAGTAGATAATCTAATCAGATTGAACAAAGACTATTAACGGGATGACAAAATTATTAAAAAGAAATTGGAAACAGTATAACATATGGCTTGAGCAGTGCAATATTACATGAAAATAAAACAGCAGGAAATATATGAACAAAAATGAAACAGCAGCAAAAGGAAAAGACTGAACCACATACTGTTTTGCACGTTTTGTATCAGTATCAGAACCAGATGCCTTGTTATGAGTATTATCCTTTTTCTCAGAAGATGCCTTTGCAGGATCATGAGAACCAGATTCTGCTGGATCCTGTTTCTCACTTGCTGAAGATGAGACTGCCTCCAACTCTCTTGGTGCACATAATGATCCTGAGCTCTGAACAGCAATACTCTCTCTGGCAGATGGAAGACTACTAGAATGAGCCCCGGCACTTGATGATGAGTCCCATGGCCTATTCTTCTGCTTTAGCAAGCTGGCCTCAGGATAGAAAGAGGTATGTCGAGCATCTCTGTGATAATCAAACTCTTGTGATCCTTGAGAAGGCACAGATATCATACTTCTATATTTGTTTTCATCCTGAGCCGCATAATCTGTGATAGAAGTATTAGATACATCAAAGTATGCAAAGGAGTCGCTTGATGAACGCCGATGACCTCCTTTGCGTACAGGTGTCTCTGGCTCGTTGAGAAGGTCATCAAGCCAAGAAGGTTGCTCCTCTATCAGAAGGCTCTCAGAGGAAGTACGTTGATGGTGAGTGTTTCCCTCTCTAGGCTTCTGGACAGCCTTTGATCCAATTAAACTGCTAGGAATGTAATCAGTATATGATGGTGAACACTAGAATGGACTTTTTGGAGGAAGTAAAGCATGCTTTCCCGAGTACATCAAACTCCTGATGTTTGTCGACCCCTTGGAATTCGCCATAACCAAATCAGAACCACTGCCAATGATATGGTAAAAGTGGTCATTTGAAAGATAAAAGATACCATAGAATTAAAAGAAACACTTCAACCAACATAAACAGCCAACATGCAGCATCACTAAAATATATTAATGCTGTAAAGAAAGTAAGCAGATATAAAATTACCAGGAAAAGCACAAATTAGCATGAAT